GCAGGCTATTTAAAGCGGCAGAGGGGAGGATGAGGGTCCAAATGAAAAGAGAGTGAAAACCTCAGCTGTGTGTGAGCACTTCACTTTAGTTTTTATGCGTGTGCATTTATGCCAAATCCTGTTATCCCACAGGCTAATAACATGCTGCTGCCTAAACTGACCATTGGTGTGAGTGACTGCAGCCTGTGATGGCCTGACATCATATCCAGGGCTGCCTCCTGCCATTCCAATACATAACATATACATTTGTAATTTTATATATGTATATATTGTATATAAATGATTACTTCATTCATTGTAAAATTACTCAATTATTAATATAATTGATTGCGACAGCCCTACTTTGTTGCACATCAATCTGTTTTTGCTGTGCTACTGTTGCAGGCTCCAAACATGCAGGCATCATGTGAGAAATGCTTTTTGATTTGTTCTGTTGTAATAACAGTGGTAAATAACGCATTTGTAACTGGGCATTCATTTGAAGCTCAGCCGCACTTATGCCTTGTCGACTCCTCGACAGCACATATGTTTATAACGTGATATTTACCACACTACGTCGCTTTTTGGCAAAATTGTCTACTACTAAAACTAAATTTTAAAATGTAGTGCTGAGCTACTGTTCTTGCAATACCTCTGAAATGCTTATTGGGGATACAACTGCAACTCTACATAATAAAGTATGGTCATATCACCCACCACTATATACTGACACGAAAAGGCAGAATACAGATAAAGCATAAGGAGACATACAGACCCTGAAAACTTTTCCTTCTCATGTAACTTTTCAAATCTTTTCCAATACTGTGTTTACCAGATTGTTCTTTTTAAACGTGCAAAAACACTTGTGATGCTGTCTTTTGATTGTCTAGGAGTGTGCCATGTGTGGGCCTCGAGGAACACCTCAGAGAAACTATAACATTATGGGTGCAGACTTCAGTTTGCCACCCTACACAGGCCGGCATGGAGAACAGATTCATTTATGGATCTTAGCTTTGCCCTTGACCTTTCTTTTAGCAAATAAGCCCACTCTTTCTTTTTCAGAAATGTTAGTATGTCCTGGGGGGGTCGGGCAGCCAGTTCACCTTGGACCCCCAGAGGTTTTTTTCTCCCTACTTGGGATTTTTTGGTTCCTCTCCTCTGTTGTCATCTGGCTTTCTTATATTCTTTTCTTTGTCTTCCCTTTTCCCTGTTTGTGAATTATTCTGTATTAATGATCTAGGGTTATATCACAACACGCCCATGTCAAGCGCCTTGGGGTGGCACTGTTGTGAAAGGTACTACACAAAAATAAACTGAATTGAATTTAAATGAAATGGACCAATAGACAACCCAGACAAGTCTCTGTGCATCCACTCACCATCTACCAGCTCCGCCCCAAACACGATGCCCCTGGCACCAGACACGCCCACACAGTGTTTCAATGAGTCACGACGTAGGTTGAAGTTGATGAGTGCAGCCTCCACGCCCACCTTGGCCAGGCCCAGCCAGAGGGCCACGAGCAGGGGCTGACTCTCCATGAAGATGGCTACCACGTCACCAGAGACCCAACCCTGGAGCAATGCCCAGTGGGCCACAGCATTTGACAGCTGGTCCAGCTGGGTGAAGGTCCAGGTCTCACCCGTGGCATCATACACCAGCGCTGGCTTGTCTGGGCACCGCACAACCGTCTGGGCGAAGATTGAGGGAATGGTGTTCCTTTTGCGCGTGTGTTGATAAAGTGCTATCTTCACCCGCAGTAGCACGTAGAGGCCACTAGGAGGACAAGAGAGGCCAGAAGGGAGGGTGAGGAAAATGTGAAGAGACTGAAGGAGGGGTTTAAAGGAGGTGAAAAAGTTGTGAATGAGGTCAGGTGAGAGAGGACAGTGAGATTAGTGTCAGAGAGAGGTTGACGGAAAATATCAATAGAAGAAAAGGGCAGGCTAATGGTTCATGGTGTCCCTGCGCAGGCCCGCAGAGACCCAGTGCCCTCTGAGGCGTCCCCCCCCACTCACTTGAGGTCCCTCTTCGCAGTGCGGGCCACCACATAAAGATACCTCCAGCCCCCTGTGCCAAGGTAGATGCCAAAGCTGGCTGCCAGGCTCCAGGACCAAGGGGCTGCAAGAAGCCGCAGCAACCCCAGGGAGCCAAGGGAGATGGAGAGTCTGAGCGCACCACGCATCCTATGAGGATGAGGAGGAGAGATCACAGGACAGTGGGTGGAGGGGTGAGGGAGACACACCGAAACACAATGAGCATCCTAAAGGAGGGAATGAGGAGGAGAGGTCACAGGACAGTAGGTGGAGGGGTGGGGGAGACACACCGAAATACACTGAGCATCCTAAAGGAGGGAATGAGGAGGAGAGGTCACAGGACAGTGGGTGGAGGGGTGGGGTTTAGGATTGATTTCACTCTTCTACAACATAGTCGGCAACGAGTCCTATTACTAGGCATAAAGTTCATGAATACAGCTGTCATGTGAAATGTGCTCCGAGTGGGGGCCATTAAGAACACCCCCCCCCCTCAAAAAAAAATTAAATAAAAAACACCCCCAGCGAGCGGGGCCGGGTGTAACCACCAAACCGGTTTCATAATTACCATTTAACACCTGTAACTGTTACCAGCGAACCGGCGCCCTTTCCCATATATCATATAAAGTTTAACTTGAACGCAAGTTTCGCGACCGTAATCTGGACGCTATAAACAAACAAATTGTAATACTTACTTGACGAACCAGACCCGGGGAAGTGGATGTTATCAGCCCTCCCAGCGAATATGTAAACCTTTGCTCCACACCTTACAGTGCTGCCTTAAGGTACACTGTGTTATTATACACCTTATTAAATACTGAAGATATTTATGACCACTGATTAAAATAAACTATGCTAAGACAACATGATCGTGCTTATAATAACGGCACTTGTGCTGACTCTATTTGTTAGAGTAGTGGATATACTGGAATAAACCACAGCTGATTGAAACAGCTACTTAGAGGAAGCCTTTCCGTATTCTTCGTTGTCACAAAGCTGCTCCAGCGCCACAGCCGCAGCCATTGCCCGCTCCTGCGTCTTTCTGACTCTCCCAAACGAAAAGGGGCACAACTCGAGACCTGCCCGCCTCCGCAATGACGTAATATTCGTCCATTGGTCATCGCCACGTTCGTCAAATTCAGGTTGAATCGCCATTGGACCGATACGGCGCTTCAGCAGAGACGCTGCAGGACGGGTGTGTGGTGGGTCAGGTCGCTGGCCAGCTCCAGGATGTTCACCAGCTAAACACACAGACGGGACTAATGCTGACCGGTTTGGGCTTCTCACATCACGTGTGCTTATGTAATACGATATTCTGGTCTAGCATGTCTCAGGATTTACAAAGAAAGAATTGAAAGTGCGTACTGTGTTGTTTATGTTAGAGTGTGCTGTGTGTGCGTGCGTGCGTGTGTGTGTGTCTGTGTGCATGCATGCTGGTAGAGCATGTATTGTGCAGTGTGTGTTGGTTGGGTGTGTATTGTTTATTTTTCAAGGGGAAATCCATCTCATAATTTTTCTGTCTCTGCTCAGAATCATCCCTGCTATGCTTGCCCCCCCCCCCCCCCATTAACACTCCATCTGACCTCTCAAACCTGTTTTCTGACCATATCTTGGCTGATCAACCAATGAACCCTATCCTTAGTGAGGAGAGGTTTATTTGGCCATAACTGAGTGGAACAGTTATAACAAAGATGACACTTGGAGAAGTGAAAAAGTTGTAGCAGAGACCAAGCTAGCTTGTATTGTGCTGGGGAAAACAGTGCCGTTCTGTGAGCCCACGCAGTCAGGTGCCGAGGCCTGGAAGAAAGGAGCCAGTGTTAAAGGAGGGAGAGAGAAGTGTGAACACCCACTGGCAGACAGGACATGACAGACACACACTGTAAGCCGAGAGCGAGTGGCCAAGCAAGCAGTGTGCAAGAGAACTTACAGCACATCTAAGGTTTTATTCATCGCATTGTTGTAATAGAGAAGCATGCTCTCAGTTTTCAGAGTTCAGTCACTGACTGTGTATCAGCATGATTCTCATCCTGTCACGGTCTGTGTCTCAGAGTTCAGCCAGAATTTGTAAATCAATTTGATCATCATCCTGTCTCATAGTTCAATCAGAATTCAGTCACTGACTGCATGTCAGTTTGATGAGCATCCTGCCACTGTCAGTGTCTCAGAATTCAGTCATTGACTGTATATTATGATCATCCTGTCATTGTCTGTGTCTCAGAGTTCAATCAAAGTTCAGTCACTGACTATTGCTGCATTCCGTTTGATCTCGTAACTTGGAAATTCTGAGTTCTTAGTCAGAAATTTCAACATGAATGCCCCCTGAAGTCCGAATTACGACTCGTGAAGTTGGAGGAATCTACACAACCCCGAACTCAGAATTCAAGATGGCTGCACCCTATGGTCCTGGATTAGGGGTGGACGATATGACCTCAAATTATTATTACGGTATTTTTCACTTTTTGGACAGTGGTATAATATCGCGGTTACTTTTTTGCAAGTTTTGCGAGGAGTAGCATGTCCCATTATGTAAATTTTAAAAATATTTTATAATATATTAAGTACACTTTAAGATGGGCATGCATATGGTCGGTTTTATTTATTTTAAAAGACATAAAATGTGTCATAGGTAATGTTTTCTTATATTTGTTTATAAGAAATTAAGTTGCTTCAGCCTAAAACAGTGCATTTTACAGTTAATTTCAAATAAAATGCAGGGTTGCCAACTTCGGTCAGGTGGCTGGAGTGAGATTTTCAATTCTAGACAAGTCTGCACAAACATGCAAACGCATTTACATGTATGTAACCATTCTATTACCTTCTAAATATGCTGTAGGGTTTGCAAACTGCCCCAACGCTTCTGATGTCGCCAATTTTAGATTTGTAGTGGAATAATACATATTTGCCGTAAGATTTCTAGCGTGAGCTTGAGTTTGAAAGCCTGTCACGCCAGATGCGTGAGAATTGGCAACCCCGAAAACGTACGTTTTTCGTTTCACGTTAATTGATTTTTTATAAAAATAACATTACTTTATACAGTTGTTAAAAAAAGGTAGACGACCATGAAATCACCAATTATCTACGTCCATTTATCCAGCATTTTATAAAATACTGCATTTGAAAACTTATCAGTTGTAAGATTTCAGGACAGAGCTGCCGCTCTTTTAGAATCATTAAGGTTTTTTTTTATTAGATTGGTAACTGTTATTAATACTAATGACAAATTAGCGCAAACAAAATGGCTGCATAAGCCGAATTACGTCTTGCTTGGATGTAAAGGAGTTTCACGTTCATTTGTATGGGAATTGGGCAGTTGTGCCTTTTATCACGCACCTTGCATGAAGGCAGCGGCGTATATATACAGTGGTACCTCAGAACTCGAATTTAATCCGTTCAGAACTCCGGATCGAATCCTAAAAAGTTCGAGTTGTGATCGAATTTTCCCCATAAGAAATAATGGAAAACCAATTAATTGGTTCCCAGCCCCAAAAATATTACACCTAAATAACACAAAATGAACCGGATAAAACAAGAAGAGCATATACTGTACTGAATACATCTAAGTACATTTATAAAAACAGCAATTTGTAAAGTAAGAAAATAAATGTATCCAAACAATGTGTACTGCCCCGATTGTCCGCTCCTTCCGTGTGCCACGCCCCCACGTTAACGCTGTGTGGTATCCCCGTGTGATCAGCTGTTTCTGGTTGTTGTCATTAGTCCTCTGTATTTCGTCCGCGTTTCAGTTTGTTTCCCCAGTCCGGTCATTGTATTGTCCGTCTGCGTTTTGCCTGCCTTACCTGTAATTAAACCCCGTATTGCCCGATGCCTTGACGTCTGCGCCTTTGTCTCCGTTCCGTCCATGCTTGGCACAACAATATTATTATAATTAAACATATTAATGGTTTATTATTCATATTAAAATAATTAATAAGAAATCTTTCTTTTTAAATATATTTTATTATATAATAATTACTGTTACTGTCTATCATTGTTTAAATGTATTTTCTAAATATTGTCTAAACCAAGGCCCTCCACCCCAAGTGCTCCAGGGACTAGTTGACCTTGCTTTCTCAAAAATGTATGCCATTCTCTCTGGGTAGCAACACGGAGGTGATGCTGCCGGCCCTCCTATGACCCTCCCCTGCATCTCCATGAATGGCATGACTTTGCTGCTTGCTTGCATGCACTGGGATCTAGCAGGCAGACAGATGTCCACAGCTACAAGCTCACTGCCTTGTGCTAAAAATTAACCAATACTAGGCTTCCAGCGGTTTTGAACAAAGAATTGCTGTTGTGTATATTTTCAAATACAAGAAATGCAGAAATGAGACTTGTCCACCCTGTTCATTTGTGTACTTAGTAATTAAATCCTTCATATTAATATTAATACTAATAATAATCATGAACATCAAGTCCAAAGTTACAAAGAAACACGCACAGCAGTTTATTTTTTTTAACCTTTCAATGCTTTTAATAAAGTTTAATATTAATCAATACACATCAAAGGCAGTAAAGTTATATTTAAACAACCGTGTAATATCCATCTATCTTAAATATAATGTCGCGGAGACCGTGTACCATTTATTAATAATAATATTAAGCAGTAAAATACAGTGATCGGTCAGTGTCTACTGGACGAGCCAGGATTCACGGTATAAAACAGCAGTAAAGTACACATCGTCTGTGCATTTGTTTTAAAGAACTTCATGATATTCGACTAAAAATAGTGAAAAAATCAATCTGTACATCACTTGTTAGCCCCATGCAGTGTTGAATCGAAAGTGCAGAATTCATCGATCCCTCAATAATTAAAACGAACAGTCATTTTCTCACCGAATGTGGAATTTTCCCTGCGGTTTGCCACGCTTGTTTCCCAGGACCTGCCGCAGATCGCTGCTGAAGCTGGGTCGGCGCACCAGCGGGTGCAGTGAGCCGTAGGGTGCATCGATGCCCGGCGTTCTGACGGCGCTCAGGGTGTTCCTCCCCGCACGCAACGCCTGATACGAGCGTATGGAGATCTTACGATGCTGGGAGGGACGGGTCTCCGTAGGAAGTCCACCTCGCTTGGCAAGAGCCTCGAAAGCTTCTTCCAGGTTGGTCCCGGTCTTGGCGGACGTCTCGAACAGTGCGCAGTCCTCCCCAAACGCATGTTGAGCCTCCCACCAGCACACCACCCCGGTCTCCGGCTCCAAGTCCACTTTGTTGGCGCAGATTACGGTGGGGATGCGCGGCTTCGATTTGCTATGTAGAATCTTAGACTTGGCCGATAATATCTCTTTGTGCAATTTGCGTACTTCTTCAAAGGAGTTTCTGTCATCCACGCTGAACACTAGGAGAAAAACGTCACCTGCAAGAGAGAGTACAGTATACGTTACACCAGGCGCGTAGCCAGTAATGGGCCAGGGCGGCACTGGCCCGCCCACATTACTCCCTGGCCCACCAAGGCAAGTTTGATCAAAATACATTTTTAGTTTATTTTTATTATTCAAATGTATTAAAAAATATATAGACTATGTCTATGCTGGTGGTTTGTCCAGCCTTTATTGAGCACTGTTGAACATGATGGTTAGACGGTGTTTTGTTATTGCCTTTGCCGAATATTGCAAAATAAAGGTGTGTTTTTGCAGTTTGTTTGTCTATTATTTTTTCTACTCTCTAAGGTTTAATTATTATTTAAGTAATATTCTTTCTAGGAAAAAATATAGGCCCGCTCACTTTTTCAATGGCCCGCCCAAAATACAATTTCTGCCTACGCCACTGCGTTACACTAAACCGAAGACGTGCTGGAAATCAGCAATAACTATAATAAAAGTTGTAGTAGTAACAAGTAACATCAACAACGATAATAATCATAAACAATAAACATCCACCAGCCACGCTGCTTAGACCCCTATTAATTCGAACTAACGGCGCTCCACGCACCTGTCAGGATAGACAATCTCCTTTTGGCAGGGAAATCCCTCTCCCCGGAGGCATCCAGGATGTCAACCTGGTACGTCTCCCCACGGATCTGGTACAGCTTCCTGTGGAAGTCTTCGGACGTGGGTTCGTAGCGCTCCTCGAAACTGTCACGCAGGAATCGTTGAAGGATGGAGGTCTTGCCCACTTTCGGCGAGCCCAGCACCACGACCCGCCGGCAGTTCCGCGACTTGGCGCGGAACAACTTGTCTGGACAAGTCTTGCTGATGGTCTGGCCGTGCAGCATCGCTTTTATCTGATCCATAAGAGATTTCTTGCAGGTGAAGCGCTCAGAGGACGAGTGCCGCTTGCCGGTGCTTGAAGAGCGCACGACTCTTGCTGTCTTCTCCTGGCGTCTCCATTGCGACGTTGCCATTTTTATGATTCCAATCCCCGCTTTGGAAATCGTGGACATTTTGAGCGCAGATGCGCTCTTATACTCTAGGAGGGACTTGGAGGAGCCGGCGTCCACTCTGTCGCATAGGAAGCGGGCACGGAGACAGGGGCTCTCTCCGGAATAAACCGTCTGCTCCGGCGATCTGATTTCCATGGTGCATAAAATTAAGCAAGGCGTGTACAGTGTTTGAAGAGCGCTCCAAAGCTGCTGACTGTTGTAAGTAGTGGTAGTCCTGATCTGCCGAACCTTTAAATACCGCTTGGATACTTCGGCGTCACACTGCATCTATCACTCACAAGCATGCATTTGACTGACAGGACAGCGGGGTGTGTCGTGTACGGAGGGAACGAACCGTTTCTGCAGATCCGAGATCGCAGAGACCCTTTGGGGATATTGCGGTGCGACAAATTGTATGTCTCTTAATTAATGACAACTAGGTCTATAGACAGGTCAAACAGTAAATTATGTAATTATGTTAAGGCCTGCTTCATTGTTGTTTATTTCTGTTGGTTTAAAATTATTTTATGTTATTATGTTGTTTATGTTATTTATTTATTTTACCTTTTTATATTCTTTTTCTTTGTATTAGCCTACTTATTTCCACTGAACATAAACTGAAGAAGCATTTCACTACACAGTTGCTCAATGTATGTTTGAGTAAAATAATAAGATTAAAAATTTCAGTACCGGTACATAGTACAGTGGTACCTCGATTCTCGAACTTAATCCGTTCAGGACTCCGGATCGAATCCTAAAAAGTTCGAGTTCTGATCGAATTTTTCCCATAAGAAATAATGGAAAACCAATTAATTGGTTCCCGGCCCCCCAAAATTACACCTAAATATGTTTTTTTTAAGCATTTAAACAGAAAATGAACAGGATAAAACAAGAAGAGCATTTTTTTCTTAATGGCTTCCAAAACGATAAAGATCTTATCCCAACATTACCCCTGTCCTGCCCCGATTGTCCGCTCCTTCCGTGTGCCACGCCCCCTCGTTAACGCTGTGTGGGATCCCCATGTGATCAGCTGTTTCTGATTGTTGTCATTAGTCCTCTGTATTAACCCCTGATTTACACTAGATGCGTATCCGCTGCGGTGCGAATGCGCTGCGTTCCCATTCCGTCCGAGGCCGTCCGCCAATTCACACTGGATGCGTTTGTGGTCCGTATCTGATCCGGCGCGCCGCTGGTTTGCGAGATCACATGACCACGGGAGAATAACATTTAACATAACATGTATCTATGTTTCTATGGATAAAATAATGTGTCACTCCCATATAGGTTACTGAACACTTTATTAGGAGTTTACAAGTACTTCACAGTACAGGTTACTTTCATTAAAAATCAAGTATATACATAGTTAATTGGAAGATTCAACTTATCGTCAAATCCCAAAACTTCTGAAGTTTCACTCCACGCCTTCTCCTTTCTACTATTATCCTTGTAAAAAGGATGTCTGAGGTAGTACACAATTCCGTGTTTCTCCACCTCCAAAATTAATTTTTCCTCATCCATGATGTGACGGAGAATTGGCGCATGCGCTCTGTGTTGCGTTCTTGATCCGTATCCGTCAAAAATAGACTTGATGCGCATCTCGACGGACTGCCGGACGCGTGACGGAACAGAGACGTAGCGGAGACGCAACGCAGCGGATCTGGTGTAAACTGCTGCATTGACTTTATTGGCGGCGATTGCCTGCGGCTGCCGTGTCGGAAACGCACCGCAGCGGATACGCATCCAGTGTAAATCAGGGATTAGATGCATTGCGACTTCTCACCCGGCTGCACAAACTGGGAACCGTCTCCGTGACGACACACCTTTGCCCTTATTGGCTGAAGAATTTAGTTACACGCATGACGTTTGTATCCCAGGCAGTTCCGATGCGTAATCTGCTATTTCTCCCGAATATCACGTAAAGCAGTGAGAACTGGTTTTCAGTTAATTTACCTGGTAAAATAAAGTTTAAATAAATGACATAAATGCTCTAATAGTACACGTAAGTTAGTGGTTTATTTATTGTTAGTTACTGTAATGTTGCGCTGCTTTATTTGGTTAATCGTCCAGTCTGTGAAGAAGGCATTCAAGTAAGAATTGCATTGTAGTATGACTCATTTCCTGGCGCGTACAATTTATATTAGGTCAGCGTTCATGGTTGGACTTCTGATATTCAGATCGAGTTCTAGGTCAAACTGGTTTGTTCGACTTTCAAGAAATTCGAGTTGTAGTGAGTTCGAGAACCGAGGTACCACTGTATTTTGGATTTTAAACCAGGGAACCCAAAATAAAGTCAGATCAGAGCCAGAGACCCCCGTATTACATAAGTAGCTTAAGTAAAACTAAGAAACGGGCGGGATGGGGGTGATATTTATTTAAATATTTCTTCTCCTTGAATATTTTCAAAAATGTGATTACATGTGGTTAAATAAATCTGATAAAAGTACGTACAGTTTAGTGGACTGCTGGCACATCATTCACCGTGCACGCGTTTCAACCCGGTTCGGCCGGGAATTCCCAAAACGGTAAACTGGAGAAGGATTAGTACTCAAAGAGAAAGCGCTACCTGACTGGCCGGCGATGATCGTCGCGCTCCGACGCTTTTAGGAAACCCTGCTGGAATTCGCCGCCGCCGCCGATTGTTTGAATCGCACGGCGGAAGCGGTCATCTGGAGGCGGAAGTGAGCGCCGTCGCCATGGATACGACAAAGCGGGAAGGAGCCGCAGTGGACTTCTCAGCACCAAATACATTCGGATAGAAATAAACTTCAGTTTCTCGCTCTAACGTGATCAACGGCTAATCCGAGACATTTATAGTCGTTTTATAATTGGAACAGTAGGCACTCTTTAGCGCAGGGACGTTTTTATAAATGGCTAGCCTAGGTAAATCTACGGGAAAAGTCTCCAGGAAGGAGCTGAGGTCACGGACCCCCACAGGTAGGTGACAATGGGACACATCGGATGGAATGACCCCTTAGCAACAAAAGTCCAGAACCAGAAGAGTATGCATACTTTAAAAGAGCAACAAAGCCTTCAGGATGTGTACCCACAGGTGAAAAGATAAGTCAAATTTTCAGTTGTTTAGGTTTATTAGATACGGTAAAACATTACGGCATCTTAACACAACTAGGAATTGTGACACAACTAGGAATTTAAAAATGTGAAATTTACTGATGCATTAAATTGGTCATGAAGCTACAGGTATATCAGAGTGGTTGTTGGGAATATCAGTAGCTTGCTGTAAAATTTCTAATGTTTTACTGAAGGTGCCTTTTCAGTGAGCAGTGCTGAGAGCACTTTCTGAAGAGGAGACCTTTTATGGTGCTGGGGCAGTGGTGGTGAGGAAGCATGAGAGAACAGCAGCCTCTTTATTAGTGAAGTGAAGTGGGTCCGTATTGTATATACAACCCACAGCATACAGCAGCATGAAATAACATTCCCCAGGACCGCAGTGCAGCATATATACATGAAGTGCAGAGACTGTAAGCAAGACTAAAGCAATACATGGGGGAGAGGGGAAAAGGAGAACAATAGCTCATAAATATAAGTAATAGAGAATATACTTACACTAACACACAGGGGAGCTAGTTTTCCTAGGGGAGCTAGCTGGTTTTCCAATATAACAGATGTGGTGGCTTCTGTCGATATAGTAAATAGATGTAACAATATGGCAGATGGTACTCATGTGTCAGGCCCTGACAGCTTTGGGGAAGAACCTGGTGCAGAACCTGGTGCAGAACCTGGTGCAGAACCTGGTGCAGAACCTGGCAGAGGATGCTCGGCTGCTGCTGTACCTTCTGCCAGATGAGAGAGGGACAAAGAGAGATTTATTAATGACTACATTCAGCTCCTGAAGGCTGCAGCTGCAGGTCTGCCCAAATAACTGTCCTTAAAAAGGATCAACTGATTTAAATTAATAAAAGTAGAATTAAAAACTTTTCATCACTGCCTTTTCAGCAGCAGCTAAACCCCAGTCTTCCACCAGTTTGGGGATAGGGTGTTACTGTCACATCCTATGATAACGCTAACCCTACTCTGGGACATTTAGGGTGTTCCTGTGACATCCTGAGCTAAACCTAACCCTACTCTGGGATGTGGAGAGTGTTACTGTTGCATCCTGTGCTAACCTTAACCCTACTCTGGATAGTGTCAAGAGTTACTGTGACAGCCTTTGCTAATTATAACCCCACTCTGGGACGTTCTGGGCGTTAACATGACATCCTGAACTAAGCCTTCTCTAGGAACTGTGGGATGTAAGAGTGAAATTCACCTCTTTATCAGAGAAAAAGGTATTTTGGGATTCTGTATTCTTGTGATGATCCATGAGGATTTGTTTTGTTGTGCTGAGAATGCCGGAAATGTTTCTAGCAGGGACTGCCTGCAATGAGCCCTTTGATGCCATATGCTGTCTGTCCTTCTAGAAACATCTAAATGTTTATTTCTGTTTTAGCTTCAGATTTTTCTGGGGGTTTATCTTGAAATGTGCTGGCCAGCTAGGTCCTGCTATTGCTATGAATCTTCTTTTTAACTTTTATGTGTATGTGTATTTTAAGGATGACTATTGCAGATGCTGGTGCAGACCCCTTGACTGTGTGGTATAGAGACAGCCCCGCTCCAGTCTCTGCTTAACAAAGGGCGCCACTGTGTTTGAGCCTCAGGTGTGCCAGCAAGATGGGAGACATTGGCAATAAGGACACTCTGACTTCACAGATTGTCGTGTTCTAACAGGGGAGTCCGCTAGATTTGGGCGTGGACCCGTCGTCCCCTCTTGTGTCATGGTGTCAGTAACTGCTGTTCCCCGCTCGCCCTGCGTGGACCCGTCGTCCCCTCTTGTGAGATGGTGTCAGTAACTGCTGTTCCCCGCTCTTATTTAAAGGTGTTGCTTCTCTGGGATTCTCACACGAGAAGTCACAAGGGCTCTGGTTACAGCTGGCATCCCTCACTTGGGCTCCTCAGGAGTCTTACTGTGCACTGGCATCATTCTCTTAGACACCATTTTGTTACAGTCTGTTCTGTTTCTTACTGCAAGGAGAGAGAGAGAGAGAAAGATTCTTCAGCAGGTCAAGAGCCATTGAGCTGGCCCATAATTGTCACTGAGAGGTTGGCTACTTCTGGTAGGGGTATTTATTTTAGCTGGACTCACCATGTTTGCCTCATTATTGCTTTGTAATTGTTTAATGACCTGATGAAACTGCTCCTTTTGGTATGGCTACATTCTCTGTGGAAAATCAGCTTCAGGATCCCATAGGTGCTTTAAGGATCTATGGTGGCTGCTTCACACTGCTACCTGGGGCCCATCAAAGTCATTATGAGCGCTTCACACATAATAATAATAATAATAATAATAATAATAATAAGCAGCATATTATGCTCATCATGTCTTTTAGAGAAGCAGCAGCTGCAAGGTGGGGCACTGCTTTGCCATGTCTCGGAGGATCAAAGCCAGATCCCCAGCCTCACGGCAGAGGACGTTCAGGTTCTGGCCATCCGCCTGGAGGAGCTGCAGAAGGTGTGACAGGGCAGCTGGGGGCTCGTTCTCATTTGGGTGGAGCTGTGTCCCAAGTGGCGGTGCTTTGAACTCAATACAAGCTGCATTACACATCAGTAACATGGGGCAGGTTACCTTCTCAAGCACATGTCTGTCTTGTGTTCCACTTATCTGGTACAAGGACACGGATCATGTCCATACTGTGCATTCCTGTCTCTGCCTCTGTGTGTCTGTGTTCCCGTCTCTGCCCCTGTGTGTCTGTGTTCCCGTCTCTGCCCCTGTGTGTCTGTGTTCCTCACTGGGTCTCAGGCTGTCTGTATTCTATCTGTGTTTCTGTATGTCTGTGTTCCCCTCTGAGCCTCAGGGTTTCAATCCTCCCATTTGGGCCTCCAGGAGTCTGTGTTCTATCTGTGTTTCTGAATATCTGTGTTGCCATCTCTGCCTTTGTGTGTCTGTGTCCCTGAGTGCACAGCTGCTGCTTCCTCAGACCCCCAAAACGATCCCGAAAGCTTCCCTGATGACCCGGGTCCTGGTGAGGAGGCCCCGCCCCCCAGAGACAGGCAGACAGACGGTCCGGATCACTGTGGCCAGGCCTGTGCCACAGGGGAGCTCCATGCTGCCGCTGGACTCTACAGGTGCAACCAGGAAAAAACAACCAGTCAAGAGCTCTACATGTGCTGTTATTTTCAGGCCATCGCTGGTTGGAGCTGTGTGTGCTGTCAGTCATTGGCTTCACTGCTTCCCATTTCTTTAAAGCAGGCAGTGACTAGTACAGTAGTGTACAGTAACCCCACCTGCTGAGATTTGAGCTGTCTGGTCTATAGAGCAGATTATACGTAGAAAGTGAGCTTCATACTAAAGGCTCTTTTATCATGTACTGCACATCCTGTCATTTCCCTCAGTGCATACTTTGTGGATACAGATACCGGATGATTCTTGGTTTCACCATGTGCTGCTATTGCCTCTCTGTTTCTCTCATGTGTTATAACATCGCTGTGAGCCACAGAAGCTGGCGGTCCTCGTTTTGATACCCGAGGCATGGTCCTGCCACACAGCATCCTAGGAACCCTGGAGAACTTTAAACAGGATATGGAGGCCAGAGGAGAGCTGGAGGTAAATGAGCACATTGGTGTGCATGTTGATGGGCGTGGGGGGTTTCTGTGCTAGGTCTCAGGGGGTCCTGCTATGGGCAGAAGTACAGTGGGGGAGAGCAGGTTGTGGCCCCCAGGGGCCCCTGTGTGGAGGAGAGCAGCTCGCAGCCCCCAGGTGTCTCACAAGAGCTGCTATTTGATTGGACTACAGCGTTGACCCCCTGCTCAGCAGCTTTGTGTGTCCTGCGCCCTGCTCAGTCTTGCCTATATGTGGCTGCCTCACATACGCACTCCCCACATACATGGCCGCCCTTCAGGCATCCCTGACCCCCCTCATACATGCCCCCTTGCCCTCTGTCACAGATGTCCCCCTCAGCATCTCTCCTCACACATTCCTTGCATGCTGGGGGGTTGGGCAGCTGGTTGATCTTGGGTCCCTACAGGTTTATTTTGTCCCTGCTTGAGGTTTTGGTTCCTCTCCCTACCCCATTTTCATCTTTTTTATTGCTAATAGACCACCTTGCATTTCACTGCAGCTTGTAGTCTGACCGTATACCTTGCATGTGACAAATAAAACCCTTGAATCCTCTGTTGTCTCCTGGCATTCTTTTTCCCTTTTCCCTGTTTCATTCACCATTCTAAATTATATGATATAGTAATGATCACCACACACTCTTGTCAAATACCTTGAGGGGATTCTATTGTGAAGTGGTAAATGGCGCATATATTTATATAGTGCATCTTCTACTCCAACGAGCACTCAAAGCACTTTACAATTTAGCCTCACATTCACCATCCACACTCACATTCATACACCAGTGGTGGAGGCTGCCATGCAAGGCGCCAACCTGCACACTGGGAGCAATTTGGGGTTCAGTCTCTTGCTCAAGGACACTTTGATAGGGTCAGGAGGAACCGGGGCTCGGACCTGGAACCCTCCCGTTGCCGAACAGTAGCACTACCTCCTGTGCCAAAAAATCACCAAAATGACCTATACAGAATTTGAACTGAAATTTTCCTTGTTATAAGATTAAAGCGTCTGGTGAAGTAGTTTATGCTGATAGTAACTATTAATGAAAGTTGATTAATTCTCTTCATTTCAGCCTGCAAGGACATGTCAGCATTTTGCTGGTGTCCAGGGAGGTGAGCAGAGTGGTGAAGTTTGCCTGTCGCTTTACTCGTAGGTTAATCTGTCAGTTTATGCGTCACTTCATCTACCTGTTAATTGTTCTTACCGGGGCAGACCCCCCATGTAGTAGCCAGACAATGTTCAAATTAACAGGCGGTTTTGTTATTGCAATTCAGATTCTGGACAAAGTAGTGTGAGACATAACACAACATGTGCCGCCTGTCAAAGTGTGTGTTTTTTTCACCCCAAACCAGCTGGTGAAACGGGTGCCGGCCTCCTTAGGAGTACGCCCCCTGGTGAAAGTGGTGCAGAAAGGCAGCCCCGTTAAGCAGCACTGTCCCCTGGACCCACAGAGCCAAGCCCTGCATCACTGGGAGCATCACATGGTTGAGCGGCGGCGTCAACAAGACTTTCTCTCCCGTGAGGCTACTATCAATGGCACGCATTTTGGACACAGCAGAAAGGCAGTGAACATCAGAACATAAGTAAACTTATTGATAGTTTACTTTGGAAACTCCAAATAAAGGCAGTGAACATGAGGACAGTAACCCACACTGGATGTTGCCAGTTCATCAGCGCCATCCCCAGTGAACATGAGGGCAGTAACTCACACTGGATGTTGCCAGTCCATCAGCGCCATCCCCAGGCACTGGCAGTGCAGCTGCCAGGCTGCAGGCCACTTCGCTCATGTGTGCTGAGATTAGTTGGCTCAGAGTGCTGTTGACTGGACTGGTTCCCCTTAGGGTTCTGGTCACAGTTGTTGGACACTGTGATTTGTGTATCAACAGGACTGCTTCATAAACCAGTGCAGACGCTGTTGATGACCCAGTCTGACTGGTTGAGAGAGACCCAGGAGAGGCGGGAGCTGATCAGCCGTGGGCTGCCTGCCCTGTGCTCTGGCCAGGTGCCTGACTTACACTGTCCCCTGCTGAACTCGTCGCTGCCGCCTAGTGTAGAACTGCTTTCTCTCAATGTGTGTTGTCAAGGGTGTGCTGGCGACCCGGGTCCCCAGACGGATCGCTCTATGTCAGTCTCATATCACGTGTCAGTGTTTTGTGTCTGTCTTTAATGACTGTGCTATTTGGTGTCATCAGGGCTACCATGTGGGCAGTGGGTTCTGGAAGCTTCCTCAGAATATCGGTGATGAGTTTAGTGGTATTACCAGCACCCTGACCCGGAGGGAAAGGGGCTATCCAGAGCCCATCACTCGCATTGGCCAGCCACGGAGGATACGTTTGGAAACAGGTGCATTTCCACCTTAGATAGAGAATTGAAGAGTTGGAGATGGATTCACGTAACGTCCAGTATGTACTCTAGAGAGGAGCAGAGCAGGACTTCTACCTACCTACCTAAGTGTGAGGTGCTCTTAGATGTTTTAACATTTTAGCTTACATGTGTTCTCTCCATTCAGGCAACGCACTCCCAGAGGTCTCCCCTTCTGCCTGCCGGACCTGGGCCCACAGCCTGTACCTGCAGCACCGCTGGCAAGAGCTTGGGGAGCTTCTCATGGACCAGGGCTTCACACAGCCAGTGGGTTCCTGCCCCCGGTCACCATTGTGCTTTACCTATCCACTCTCTGCCACACTCACTTCCTGTATTCCGGTCTTGTTTAGTCTCATATTTGCTAGCCAAGGGTCCTGAAGGCCCAAGGAGGAGCATGCGTACCGTACATATCCCGATGCGTCCTGCCAGGCCCACGGGGGAGCATGCGTACCGTACATATCCCGATGCGTCCTGCCAGGCCCACGGGGGAGCATGCGTACCGTACATATCCCGATGCGTCCTGCCAGGCCCACGGGGGAGCATGCGTACCGTACATATCCCGATGCGTCCTGCCAGGCTCGAGGACCGAGGAGGATCATGTGTACCACATGCGCCCCCCGCGCATCCTGCCGGGCTTGAGCGGGAACATGTGAACTGTATGTGGCCCAGTAAGTCCTGCCAAGCCCAAGGGGGAGCATGTGTACTGTAAGCAGCCTGGCACTTGCTGTGCTTCCCCATAATTATTGGACCCCAGTGGGGGGGTCACATAACAAGACGGAGCTGGCATGCTAATTAGCTTGGGCTAATTACTGCTAATTGTTGGCACTCATGAGCACCTTTTCTAAATGAACGGTCTTTTGGGATAATTAGCTCCCTCATTTGTGTGCGCAGCAGTCACACAGAGTGACTATACACAGAAATAAATACAGATCAGCATACATGCAGAAAGCACTTGGTATCCAAGTGTGAACCCCTTGTGATTATTCATAGCTTTGTGATAAAATAACAGGTTTTTATCGCTTTGTGGAGACATTTGGTCCCCACAATGTAAAAAATATATGACCACACACACACACACACAAGCATAAACACTACATAATGGTGTGAGCAGGCTGCCTCCATGTCTGGGAACACGACGTTCTCCAAGGAACACCTGGCTCAGTGTGCTCCAGCGCTCCGGACTGCCACCATTTATTGAGAGTGTGCAAGTCAAAATTCCACCTGGTTGTATATGTGCGTTATAATCATCAGAATGTTTCTTTTTGCTGAGTTGGTCTCTCCCTATCTGCACACGTGAGTATATATGTATACACACACTGATGATAATACGTGCAAAACAATCCCTTTAGCTGAAGTATTAGCATGTTCCAAGAATTCAGATTCCTTTCACATTTGCACATTTAACATTGATTTGGATCAAATGTCACAATCTCATCATTTAATACCTAAATATTAGTAATACGTGATATTTGTTTACGTAACTGCATATTATATTTTTTTATATTAAAGTCTTGACTTGGGTACGTCATGAATCTGTCTTGGTAGCCTCACTCATATGTTAGCTGTCTTTGTGACTGTGGAATCCCTCGTTTCTAGAAGTAAACATTTCACGGATGTTATTTTAACATCTTTAATAACTGAATAGTCCAAAACGTAGTGCTCCTGTGCATACAATACTAACCTTGTACATACAGGGACAAAATTTAGATGGTTGTATATTTTATAAAAAAGTCTAGTTAGAAAATGACAAAGTACTTTGACATGCAAAATGTAGAGTACAGTTCTGTGTGTTTAGACATTGGTAATAAATAGGCTTTTTATGACTAGCAAACTGTTCTGGGTGGTGGTTAGGGGTCCCCATGTATTAGTCACATTGGTGGAGATCTGCTGCAACCCTCACAAATGTCGAGGTTACTGTAACAAATCTTGAATCACTTTTAATCTTTCCTCGATACACAAACTTGGGTATGCAAGTTAGGACAACTGTTCATCAGCATGCAAGATCATTGATTAATACCAAGTTGCACCAAAAAAAAGGGTGTGACCAACTGAGAAAGGTGGTAACGCTACTGCTACCACTGTGAAAGTGAGTCTGGAGGCCTGTGGCTCCTTCGTCTGGCCTTAGACAACCCTGCTGGGCACCTGTAATGGCAGCGTAATTAACCAGAGAGTGTGTGAAGGTGTCCGAGCACCCAGAGGGACACAGAGACAGAGGAAGGGGAAGCCCCAATGCCAGTCAGATTCTTTGGTGGGTAGACTCAGGGCTCAACTGTCTGAAATGCCCCAAGAGCCCAGGCAGGGCTGCGACAGGTGCCTGCTCTGTCGGCCACACCCTTTAGTGCGTGCCCTCGTCCCAAACGCATGGGCATGTCCACATGCTTATGTGCATATGTGTAACACCATGACAGTACAATGTAATCCGCTATCCCTGACTGTTTTACAGCTGAGAGATATACAGCAAAAGATAGGTCATCTGTGACTGTGACCCTGACTGGCATCCAGCACCGGTTTTTCTCTGGATGCTGTGGTTGGACATGCTCAAGCTGTAATTAACTGCTATTGCCTGAGAATGGTGTGTGGAGTAACCTCAGGCAGATGGAGTGTGTGTGTGTGAGTGAGTCCCTGTTGAGCTTTCTTAACTCTCTCCTCGCCTTCCTGCCCCCTCAAAGCTACATTGTCTTCATCACTCAGGCTGTGGGGCAGGAGTCTCCACACAGATCATTTAATCAGGCCGGTATTCTCAAGTCACTGTTAGTGATTTTGAGAACAGTGTTTCTTTAGCCTGTGAATAGGGGCTTGGTGTATTTCCAGTCACTTTAAAGTCCTTCTGCTTTGTGTGGTAGAATCTGTGCTCTGTGGTCAGCCATATTCCCTGCACCCCTCCCTAATAGGATATGAAAAAGGTGCAGATAAAGCATCATTTCATCATTTCATTATGATTCCTGTCTTATGTAACAGTCCCCCTCTCTCATCCTCTGTCCCTCCACCTCCATCACTGCCCACAGGAGATAGATGGTCTGGAGGTAATCGGGAGAAATCAGGTGTTCTCTGCTGACACTGCAGAGTGCTGCTCCCTAAATGAAGGCAAGAGGGAGCAGGCAGAGGAGGAGAAAGAAACAGTGAAGAGGGAGAACAGTGCGGAGCTGAAGTAAGTGCATTTTCCCACTTGACAAAACTGGTGGCTGTGTGTTCTTCTGCTTGCCATGGATGGTCAGCACTGTAAGTGGGGTAGTAGCAGCTAAGCTTTAAAAACATTCCCAGTTAATAATCTAGTCCGCTGGGAGAGGAGATGGATGAAGCGTGCCTCCTCCTTTCTTGATATTTGTAAATCTTACTGATATATATGTTTTGATAACAATGGGCCTCATTCACCAATATTTTCTTAAGAATTCTCTGAAATTTGTTCCTACGTTGGATTCATAATGTGTTCTCAAGTAGCAGAATTGTTCGCGCCTTTGTTCTTAAGAATGGTGAATCCCACGTCTTCGTAACTGAAAGTGTGTGCCAATTTGTCCTATTTAGCATAGGGAAACGCCCTGCAATTTCCCATAATAGGGCACGAGACTGTAGGGCCGTGTGCAAGGAATGGCGAAGAGACGCGCAGGCTGTGAGCCCCTTGTCACTAAGAGGAAAAAAAACTTCAGTAATGCTTAAGTAAAAGTATTAATACAGTAAAATCCTGTTATAGTGGACTCGCTTATAACGGAATCTCATCTATAACGGATGAGGTCCGCTGGTCCCGGCCGTGCGCTTTTAAGAACATGCAGAGAAAGCATCGGATATAGCGGACTCACAAATAACGGAATTTCACTTATAACGGACAAACAGTTTAGTCCCCAGGGCTGCTTTTAGCTGTAGTTTTGTTCGGCTATGACAGACATGCAGCTCCGTCTACAAGGCGCTTGGTGTGCAGGTGATATCCAGCGCAGATATGGAGTCGGGATTATTAATAATAACGCATCTGGTCAGGTAAAGTTGGATTACTACATGTACAATATAATAATCTATACCTCAAGTGTGTCTGCTGGGGTGTGGCATGAGTAAATGGTGTCCTGTAGTTGTGTTCTGGGCATACAGAAACTCAGGATATAACGGACTGTTTTGCCAGGTCCCTTGAAGTCCGTTATAACTGGATCTTACTGTACAGGAGGTAAATGCAAATAGACACATGTTATTTAGTAGCGTAACCAGTGGATATATAATTAAGCCCCCAAGAAAGCTGATACATGGAGAGATATCACCTTCTCTGTGAACGCTGTGTGCCTAATAAATCTAAATGATCTTCAAACATGCGTTCCCTTCTCAGAGCACGATTGGCAAGCTCTTCAAGAAGTAACAGAAATGCCATTTTGATAGCAAGGCCAATGCGCAGAAACAGACCTATTTATAATCCTCATGATCGCCGTTACTACCATGAAAATATTTTTTACACTTTAAAATTATTTTTTATATTTTACTTTTATAAATTATTCATATACTATTATTTTATGAACTGTAGAATGAACAAAACTACTATAACCGATTATTTTGAACAAACTGTCATTACTCAAATGTGCGTACGAATGGTCTTGAGTGTGCGTAAATTCTGTTCTTAGCTAAGAACAAATTCAGATAAGAAAACATTGGTGAATGTCAGAATCTTCGTAAAAAAGTGTGTACGTGGGGTTTAAGAACAAATTTGTTCGTAAGAACGGTTGGTGAATGAGGCCCAATGAGCAAAAGAACACACATCCGTTTGAGCTGCACATTTTGTCTGCTGCTCTCAGGAATCCCCCGGCACAAGATGATGACATCACTCCAGACACGGTGCTTGTTCCAGTACTGCACTTCTGCGGGCACCGTGCCTGCTGGACTGGCAGCTCACCCTCGCACCAGGTACGGCAATCTCCGTGATGCGCAGCCACACAGGGGCACCACCAGGTGCTTTTGCATCACTCTTCCTACAGGGGGCGGTGGGCGTCACTGGTCAGCTCAGCTTCGAAGCACCTATAGGGCAGAAGACCTCCTCCTACCTGGAGCTGCATAATGAGGGCAGTACAGCCATCTACTACTACTGGAGGCGCCAGGCCCTGCGGCACAGCTTCAGGGAGGCTGATGGACATGGCTACAGGGAGACTGGCGGGCATGGGCGTGGGCAGAGCTTCTACTTCAACAGCAACACGGGTAATGCACTGTTTACATGTAGCATGAAGGACACAGAGGGGACACCTTTTGCAGACACACTATACAGATAGAGCTACAGGTCACACACAGAGTTATACACTTTACGCACATATTATAAACACAGCTACATGAAACTCACAGAATTGTAGATATTACACACGTACACTAAATACATAGAGCTACCGGTCACACAGTAATATGTGTTACCCACACTATATACACAAAGCTACAGGTTACATACAGACTTATGCACGTTACACAGACACAGTCACATCCGCCCAACACACACAATGTATACACAAAGCTACAGTTAACATACAGAGTTATACATGCAGACAGCGGACATGCTGCATACTGACAGATCATGGCCACACACAAAGTCACACGCCTTAAAGTCAGCATTGCTGTGTGTGACCTGCCGTGACCCCACGCCCTGCCCCCTGAGCCCAGGCATCATCCTGCCCGGCGAGATGCAACGGATCCTCTTCACTTTCAAGTCGACCACGGCCGGCATCTTCCATGAGGCGTGGTGCCTGAATACACACCCAGTTCTGCTCAGCGGGGCCTCGCTGCAAGTGACGCTGAGCGGGGTGGCCTTCCACCAGGATGAGAATGTGCAGCAGAGGGCCACTTTAGAGGTGTGTGTCTCTGTCTGTCTGTGTCTGTCTATGTGTGTGTGTCTGTCTGTGTGTGTGTGTCTCTGTCTGTGTCTGTCTGTGTGTGTGTCTCTGTCTGTCTGTGTCTGTCTATGTGTGTCTGTCTTTGTGTGTGTCTTTCTGTGTGTGTGTCTCTGTCTCTGTCTGTGCGTGTGTCTCTGTCTGTCTGTGTGTGTCTCTGTCTGTCTGTGTGTGTGTCTCTGTCTGTGTGTGTGTCTCTGTCTCTGTGTGTCTCTGCCTGTCTGTGTGTCTCTGTCTGTGTGTATGAATATGTTTGTGTCAGTGCATTTCTGTGTGTCTGCCTGTCTTTATATGTGTCAGTACATTCGTATCTGTCTATGTGTGTGTTTGTTTGTGTCTACGTGTGTCTGCCTGCATCTGTGTGTTTGTGTCTATCTGTCCTTCTGTGTGCCTTTGTGCATATGTGTGTGTGTGTATGTCTCTGTCTGTCTGTCTGTGTCTCCGTCTGTCTGTGTGTCTCTGCCTGTCTGTGTGTGTGTGTGTGTGTGTGTCTCTCTCTCTGTCTGTCTGTGTGTGTGAATCTGTTTGTGTCAGTGCATTTCTGTGTGTCTGCCTGTCTTTCTGTGTGTCAGTGCATTCGTATCTGTCTGTGTGTGTGTGTTTGTTTCTGTCTACGTGTGTCTGTCTGCGTCTGTGTGTTTGTGTCTATCTGTCCTTCTGTGTGCCTTTGTGCATGTGCATGTGCATGTGTGTGTGTGTCAGTGTGTGTGTTTTTTTGTAGGTCAGATATACATTACATTGTGGGTATATTTGGTCCCCGCAATGTGATAAAAAATCTGTTATTTTGACATTGTGAGGACCATTTTTTCAGTCCCCACAAGGGGAAATTTTATAAAAATCAGTAACTGCAATCAAAAAACTAAAAATGCCAAAAGTCTTGTATTTGCTTGGTTACTTATGGTTAAGGTTAGTGCTGGGTAAGAGATAAGGTTGTCATTATTGGTATTAGGGTTTTGCCCGTAGAAATGAATGGGAAGTCCCCACAAATATTTGAGTACAGGTCTGTGTGTGGGTGTGTGTGCGTGTATGTCTGCATGAGGCTAACCGGCCTGTGTGCATGTGTCACAGCGGGGGCTCCTGCAGAAGGAGGCGGCCTCGGTGTGCAGGCTACTACTGTCTGAGCTCCTGCAGGGGGCGCACTCCCCAGAGAGGCCCGACTCCCCTGCTGAGCACCACCTCACAGAGGAAGGCTGCTTCTGCAGGGCCAACCCTCAGGTACGTCATACCTGCGGCTCGACCCCTGGGCTCTCATCAGCGTCATACCTGCGGCTCGACCCCTGGGCTCTCATCAGCGTCATACCTGCGGCTCGACCCCTGGGCTCTCATCAGCGTCATACCTGCGGCTCGACCCCTGGGCTCTCATCAGCGTCATACCTGTGGCTCGACCCCTGGGCTCTCATCAGCGCTCCAGCATTGTCTTTGTCTATCCCACACAAAGCATTGACCCATGCTTCTGAATGGATTAAGCTGTACTCCTATTCTAGCACCTTGCACTGGGGAGTGATTTTCCTTGCAAAATCCAACCCTAACCCTAACTCTGTCACGTGACCCCTGGCCATCATTCCAGCATCAGCTGCGTTAGGTCAGGCAGCGTCCCTCGTCCTGGGAGAGTCCACCCTCCTCCTTGTCACGTGACCCCTAGCCAGCAAAGTCAAAGTGAACTTTATTGTCATCTCAGCAATATACACGTATAGAGTGAGACGAGACAACGTGGCTCCAGTTCTTACAGAGGATAAAAAAAAAACATAGTGTAAACATATATTAAATAGACTGTAAATATGAGCCTTAAATTAAGTAAAGAATGTGCGATTCAGTTATAGGAGGTATTCAGAATGTGCAAATATTACAGTGGCAGACAAGTAGAAAATTTGTAATTCCATCATCCTGGGAGAGACCGCCCTCCTCCCTGTCATGTGACCCCTGGCCACCATTCCATCATCTTCTGCGTTAAATCTGGCATCGTCCCACACGCTGGGAGAGACCACAATCCTCCCTGTCGCTCGGCTCCTGGACACCATTCCATCATCTGGTGCGATAGGTCTAGCAGCGTCCCTCGTCCTGGGAGAGACTGCGCTCCTCACTGTCATGTGACCCCTGGCCACCATTCCATCATCTGCTGAGTTAGGTCTAGCAGCATCCCTCTTCTTGGGAGAGACCACCCTCCTCCCTGTCATGTGACCCCTTGCCAACATTCCAGCATCTGCTGTGTTAGGTCTAGCGACGTCCCTCATATTATCCCTTCTTGACCTATCAGCAGCATTTGACACGGTTAACCACAAGACTCTCCTGTCCATCCTTAGGAGTCTTGGCATTAGTGGTTTGCTTGGCAATGGCTTGCATCCTACCTCGAAGGCCGATCATACAGAGTGACATGGAAAGGACTCACATCTACCCCACATAGTCTCTTCACCGGTGTCCCTCAGGGCTCGGTTCTTGGCCCACTCCTGTTCTCCCTCTATACCAAATCTCGGTGAGGTCATATCCTCTCATGGCTTCTCTTACCACTGCTATGCAGATGACACTCAACTCATCCTCTCCTTCCGTCCTTCAGACACTCATGTCTCCACTAAGATATCTGCATGTCTAGCAGATATCTCATCTTGGATGACCGCTCACCAACTGAAACTCAACCCTAGTAAAACGGAACTGCTGTACATCCCCGCTGACTCATCCCCCCTCCTGGACCTTGCGATCTTCCACGACAACTCCATGATCCATCCTTCGGTTACTGCTCGCAACCTTGGGGTTACCATGGACAATCGTCTGTCCTTTTCCTCACATATCGCCAACGTTTCCCGCTCTTGTCGGTTTCTCCTGTTTAATATCAGCAGGATACGTCCATTTCTTTCCACACAGGCTACCCAGATACTCGTTCAGTCCCTCGTCATCTCCCGCCTTGACTACTGCAACTCGCTTCTAGCGGGTTTACCACTGAGCGTCATTCGTCCCCTCCAACTGATTCAGAATGAAGCTGCTCGACTTGTTTTCAACCTTCCCAAGTTCTCCCACATCACTCCTTTGCTGCGCTCCCTACACTGGCTTCCTGTGGCTGCCCGCATCAGATTCAAAACACTGATGCTCGCATACAAAGCCAAAAATGATCTGGCTCCATCCTACCTAAAAGACTTCATCACACCCCGCACTGCACCACGATCTCTCCGATCCTCCAGGACTGCTCGACTGGTACCACCACCCCTCAAGGCACAAGGAAGACACACCTCTCGGCTCTTCTCTGCTCTGGCACCAAGTTGGTGGAATGAACTCCCCCTAGATGTCCGAACAGGGGAGAGACCACCCTCCTCCCTGTCACGCCGCCCCTGGCCACCATTCCATCATCTGGTGCGTTAGGTCTAGCAGCGTCCCTCGTCCTGGGAGAGACTGCGCTCCTCACTGTCATGTGACCCCTTGCCAACATTCCATCATCTGCTAAGTTAGGTCTAGCAACGTCCCTTGTACTGGGAGAGACTGTGCTCCTCCCTATCACATGACCACTGGCCACCATTCCAGCATTTGCTGTGTTAAATCTGGCATCGTCCCACATGCTGGGAGAGACCACAATCCTCCCTGTCGCTCGACTCCTGGCCACCATTCCAGCACCTGTGAGACTAGCCTAATTGGACCCATTAGCGCTCTGATTGGATTCTTAGCTGTAATCTGGGGCACCACACAAGGAAGTTCCTAAGAGAGGTGCCCTGTCCCCTGTCACTCACATTTTCCACTGAAAATGTCCTAAAATAGAAAAGATGTACATGCCAGTCATGCACAACTCTGGCTTCACCATCTGCAATAAGGACACAGACACGACTGCACAGGCTGAGATACTGAATCTATAAGAATAAGATGAATCCATTCACATTCACCTCTCCCATGTACCCGCAGTTTTACAGATCGGGGATTTTTTTTTTTTACTGTATTATACATTTTATCTTCCCAGTGTAAAATTCCAGGGTCAGCCCAGCGATGTCACCATTGGCCCCCAGAGCAAGTCCCTTAATCCCCATTTACTCCAGGGACTGTTTGACCCTAGTTTTTCGGTTGTATGTCACTTTGGACAAAAGCATCTCCTAAATATACATATGTGATGTTCTATTAGAGCACAACAGGATCACTTATAAGACCCTATGGGATGGGAGTCCGGCTCAGGGCCAGGATCAGGGTCATTAATGTTTCAGTAACACCGAAGCCTACTATATTTTATGTATGTCAGCTAATGTACGCTGTGCAGCACTGCATTATCTATGGTTATTGTGCTAATTGCACACCTGGCTGCAGCAAAGCGCAGCCTAGGAAATGCTTGCTAAAACGGAATGAACTATGTGATTGACAGCTGTATTACCCGAAGGGGGCCGTGCAGGTGCACTGCATTATTTACAGGGCCATCTCCATGGTTACTGTGCTAACTGTGCACCGGGCTGCAGCTGTAGTAGACTGTGTGATCTGAAGCTGCATTACCAGCAGGGGGCTGTGCAAGCACACTGCAGTTTTTACAGGACTGTCCCCATAGTTACTGTGTTGACTGCACCTGGTTTCAGCTGCAGCGAAATGCAGACTAATGAATGCTCACTGAAACGGAGTGGACTGTGTGATCTACAGCTGCATTACCAGCAGGGGGCCGTGCAGATGCTGAGGGAGCTGTGGGAGCAGGTGGCTCCTCGAGGGGGCGACCCCCACCACCACGCCCCGGCTTGGGACCTCTCTGTGCCCAGCCTCAGACAGGTAAATTTATGCCAATGCATGAAACTTTGATGCCACTATAACACCCTGTACCATCAAATACACTTAACTACTTCATATCTCATTGGAAATAGATGAAAGGACCTTTTTCAGCTGCCTTACTGATCAAATTTTCTATTTTTGTTGTCATTAACATTTCCAAGTGCACTTCAGGGCAGACATATTAATCCAGGTTGGACCATCAATCCAGTAAAAGCCCTCATGAGATATGTAACTGACAGCCTTGTTGTGCTTTGATTTGATTGAGTCTTCAGGAACACAAGATTCTTTTCATGAGTCCAGGATCAAAACTAAGGTGGCCATGAGTAAGCTGTAGCCACTCCAGATAGATGTTATACCCATGGCATGACCTCCATGAGGTTCCTCTTGTGTTTCTACGTCCTTCCCAGACCCTGCTGGCTATGCCAGAAGGAGAGAGGGAGGGCACAGTGCAGAGGCACAAGGAGAATGCCCTGGCCTGCTTCAACACCTTGGTACTGGAGCTCCAGCAGTTTCATGAGCGGCCCCAGGCCCTATCGCCATACACCATCGGGTGAGCTCAGAGAAGAATGTGGGGGCTATGTGAGAGGAGGCTGAGTAAGGGGCAGAGCTTTGAGTGACACCCCTGCCTTGCCCGGGGGACACAGCAGGCCGAGAGTCTTTCAGAGGAGTCTCACTGTCTGTGCATGTTCCCCCACGCTAATCAACCAAGCACAGAGCTGTAAATGTGGAGCTGTAATCCTGTAATCAAATCAGTGTGTGAGAGCCGATGTCGGGATCCGTGTGAGATTAGGGTGCGGGAGGCCATCCGCCGGGGGGGGGGGGGTGGTTCCGGTTGATGGGGCCCTTCGGCCCTGGACCCGCTTTCCTCAGTGGGGGGGTTGTGGGCGGGGCTGGCGCCCCCTTAGTCCCTCGTGGGCTTCCTCTCAGGTCGGGCAGGCGGTTGTCTCAGGGACGCGTGGCCGTGGGCCCTTGTGCCATGGGGGCGGTGGGGTGGCCTCGGTTGCCTGTTTCCCCCTGCCTTCTCCTTGGGCCCAGGGGTGGGGGATCTGTAAGTGAGAGCCGATGTTGGGGATACGCATGTGAGAGCCGATGTTGGGGATCCGCATGTGAGAACCGATGTTGTGGATCCGCGTGTGAGAGCCGATGTTGGGGATATGTTGGGGATCCGCGTGTGAGAGCCGATGTTGGGGATCCGCATGTGAGAGCCGATGTTGGGGATCCGCATGTGAGAGCCGATGTTGGGGATCCGCATGTGAGAGCCGATGTTGGGGATCCGCGTGTGAGAGCCAATGTTGGGGATCCGCATGTGAGAGCCGATGTTGTGGATCGGGGGGTGCGAGACCCGTCGTCAGGATCTGGACGCGAGAGCTGATGTGGTTTTAGCTGACACTGCTGCTGTTGCTGCAGGCTGCAGCTGTGGAGGGAGCTGTTAGACAAAATGGTGAGTGAAGCCTTGTGGCAGAGGCACCTGCTTAAACTTCCATACAGGGACGCCTGGGCAGACAGCAGGCTGGATCCCGCTGGTGAGTGTTACACAGTAAAACACATAGTTACACATTTGACTGTGAACATGTTACATGAACACCCTGCTTACACTCATACTGACATATACAAAACCATTCAGAGTCACACACTCATGTAAAAACACAGTAACAACATACCACTTAAGCTGAACTTGATTATGCCAGTATCAATAACTGCTTAAATATAATTTCCAATACCATTATATTTTCTGTGGCTTAGGCTTCAACGTAAAGAAGGAGGACAATTCAGAAAAGAAAGGAGGGATTTCAGTAGAAGAGGAGGAGAAAAAAGGAGCAATGAAGCAGCCAGGGAATGACAGGCCCACAGAGGTGATGATCAAACACATGCAATGACTGCATTAGTCCAACAGGGGGCAGCAAATACCTGTACAGTATGTGCTTGAACAGTACTCTCAGCCAGCTTTCTGTGTCATGATAGTCAGTGCTTATGTAAATGTAATATAACAGGCTATCATTCAGGAGTTTTTTTTTACTTAAACAGAGAATTATAAAAATTTAAGAATTAAACGTATTGATGTGTAGAGTACTGCTCTGGCTGATGGTTTAAAACCCTCACTTTTTATTTGATGTTCATATAATAAAACCAAATGTTGCTCATTTTAGCAATTTTGGTAACAGGAGATTATGAATCATGGTGAGGAAATTTCTTCCAGTGAAGAGCTGTACAAACTAAATTGTTTAAACATCAGCAGACAAGCCAGTGCAGACAGACGTATCGCCAACATATGGACTGTGCTTCGAAGACTCTGTGACCTTGTGCCCACAGCAAAATGTTGCAGGTGGCATTCGAGCACGCTCTGTACCATGGCCCTTCCTCCTGTGGTGGTCATGTGATTGCTAACAAGTCCCCCCCCCCATGCCCAGGAGCAGCTCTCCAGTAAGAGGAAAGGCCAAGATGAGAAGCATCACAGGATGCTGGGTGAGGAGGTGCTGTCAGGAGGAAGAAGCTTGAAGTGTGACCTTGTGGAAAGCCAAGAGGAACTTCAGGAGCAGTACCGCCAAAAACTGTACCAGCAGGTGACAATTCGGCAGTGCACTGCATCACGATGTGCTGTACCACACTGTATTGAATCTCACTGCACCGGATTATACCACACCACACTGCACCAGACTGCTTCTCATTACATTGTACCGCATCGGACCGCACTGGACGATACTGCACTCTACCACTCCCCACTCCACTACAGTACATTACACCAAACTGCACCAGACCACACTATACTGGACTGGACAGCACCATACCACTCAGCATTGTACTTCACCACACTGGATTGCACTGCACTGCATTTCACTGCCCCGTACCACAACTCTCTGGACTGTACTGCACATGCTACCAAACACATGCAATCAGTACAAAATTGTAAGATAAGATATAACAGTCTTTCTAGTCACTAGAAAGAGCAGTGAAATGTCATTTATCAGCACTGCAGCTAATAGTACAGCATGTACAGTATGATTAGGACAATAGATATAGAGACATACATGGATAGACATAGAAAAGCACAATAGACAAGAAGTGTGCGACCAAAAATATATGTACAGTGTCATAAATATATGTTCAGTAAGTACAACAGCTGACAATAAATAATAACAAATAAAACACTGTGGCTATAGAGAACAAATGCCTGGCATGCACATATGCAGGGGCTGCCCTGAAGCTACATCGTAGGGTGTGTCAGGCTGTTAATGACACTGGGATTTGCTGGGCAGTTAGCTTTTGTGGCGGAGCATAATGGCCTATGGGATAAAAACAGTCCCAGAATGCCCTGCTCGTGCACCGCCTGGCAGTAGGGTGCAGAGTGGCAGGTAGCTGTGCCGGGTGACCTGATACTGCTACACCTCACACAGTGTGCAGTATAGTGCGCAGCATAGTGCGCAGCATAGTGCAGTATTGAACATGAGACATTGAACATACTGAGAGTGAAAAACAGTGTCTGATTAATATATATATATATTTTTTTTATTTTGTAAGTTGAGTAGAAATAATTTATTGTCTCCTCACATATTTCATATTATTCTGTTTATTTTCAGGAAGTTTATTTTTAAAAAATCAAAATTGCGTTTCGAACGTTGTTGATTTAAAACTTTATAATGTTTATACCATACTGCTCTGTATTTGCTGCCCTTGTGGCCCTCCTGTCTCCTGTAACTGGTGCTGACTGGCCCTCCTGTCTCCTGTCCCTGATGCTGACTGGCCCTCCTGTCTCCTGTAACTGGTGCTGACTGGCCCTCCTGTCTCCTGTAACTGGTGCTGACTGGCCCTCCTGTCTCCTGTAACTGGTGCTGACTGGCCCTCCTGTCTCC